GCTTAGTATCCAAGCCCTATGTTCAAATCCCTCTCTGCCATGGAAGCTTCTTCGGTGACCTTGGGTGGGTCATTCATTCACTTTCAGCCTAACCTATCTCACAAGATCTTACTGTGAGGAGGGGAGAACCATAGGTACTGTCTAGGTCAAAGGTGTCGAACCCATTTGTTACAAAGGCCAGATTTTACATAAATGTCACTTTGTCAGGCCAGGCCATGTGTGCCATAAAATGTAATGCCAGGTACTGGAGATACGAACTTTATAAAGGACAGCAGCTGGTAACCTCTGAGTTGGTGTGTTCTCACTGCAAGGCCCCATGGGCTGGGGGGAGTTCAGAGGAAAACCCACAAGGGCGGACAGGAGAGCCAGTGGTGCAGTGCTGGACAAACACTCTCATGCTGCCTGGGGGGGGAGGGGGCAAACCCTTTTCTCAGCCTGCTACTGCCACCAATGCTCTGAGCCTGGGCTCCGGGGAGGGAAACGCAAAGCAGCTGGGTGTTGTAAGCTCCCCCTGCCCCTGAGCCACTGTGGAAGGAAACTGGAAGACAAGCTGAACTGACTCCCCCACCTGCAGAAGTGTGGGGGGGTGGCCCAGGTGTATGGCCACGTTCACTGTGGGACCCAAGCCAAGCCAAGACTGATAAGCTGGAGATTCCCCTGCAGCAGTGGCCACCTCCAGCCAAGGCCACCAGGCGATCCATGGCAGGGCGATGCTGGGGTTTCAAGCCAGAGATTGTCAGCAAGCTGTGCTGTCCCCATGCGGCAGCAGCTGCCCCAGGCTGAAGTCCGCTGGATTGTCTGATGGGGCAGCAGCAGGTACCATGTGTACAAGGCCACACGTGTGGCAGAGGCCCTAGGCCGCTCAGAATGAAAAGGCTTCTCTTCAAGCCCCGGGGGAGGCTGAGACCCCCCTGGAAAATTTCGGAGGTAGCCCCCGCCCCTCCGCCCCCCTGAACTCTACGCCTATGGGACTAGGTGCTGGGTGATAGTGAGATATTGAAAAAATGGTAATTAGCAGAGATAATATAGCCCAGTAGAGCCTGAGTAAAGTAATTCAGACTGAGAGTCCATGTGTGATTAAAATATAAAGTTTTTACTAAATTCTAGCATGGAGAAGGGTAACTGGGATGAAAATAACAATAGAGCTAAATCGGCTACATCCTTACTCTACAAAGACAAAGCTAGAAGAGAGAATGGCTGCTCTCCTTCTTCTCAGAACACACAGACAAAGATGGGAAGAGAAGCCATAAAAAGGTAATACACCTTGGCACTTTAGTCCCAATCAAATCCCTAGATTAGGGAGAAAATTCCCGGGCTTCCTACATCTAAAGAACATTGGTTACATGAGAAACATGTGACTTCCTGTGAGTAACATAAACCTTTAACGCCAGACATACTGAGTGTTTTTAACTTGTAATACCCAACACTAGGCCCCCAATTTGTGGAAGAAACTGCTGAAAAACAGGGGGGGGGGGCATGGGCCAAAGCACAGCCGCAGCATGGGGGGTGCAGTTACAGTGGTTGTGCTGGTTGCCAGCAGGCCCCAGCAGAGGATCATCTGTGTCCTCCCGTGTACAAATGCTGATTCCTGCGGTCATCTGGGACAGCACCTCCAGAGCTGCAGGCCAAGTGGAGAGATGTGCAACCTCATCTTGGAACCCTGAAAGAGCATGAATGTGGTGGTGGCAGCTCCCATCATACCACTGAGGCTGCCACTGAAGTGAAGGGGTTCTGCTTGTCTGCTGCTGATTAGGTTGTTCTGCAGCGCTGAAGCGACAATTGGAGTGTCTCTGCCCACCCCCACCCCAGCAACACCAGTTGCTCACAGGCCAGATAAGAGCCCTGGCCGGATTGTTTGACCCTCCCTGGTCTAGATCTCTTTGGAGGAAGGGCAGATTAATCATGCAATAACAGAGTTATACATTGATCTGCCCCTGTCCCCAGGCATTGAGATGGGCAGCACCATTAAACCTGCATTAATTTGATTTTAAAAATTCAAAATACCCATTAGAAATACTCCAAAGATTCCTGTGGGGTTTTGAAGACATTCATGGTGGCATAAGCATTCCTGGATTTCATCTTCCCACGTTAGATGCATATAAAAAAAAATACTAGATTGAATTAGTCCTGACCTGGATAGCCCCAGCTTGCCCAATCTCGTCAGACCTCAGACGCTAAGTAGGGTCAGTCCTGTTCAGTATTTGGATGGGAGACCACCAAGGAATACCAGGGTCATGACGCAGAGGCAGACAATGGCAGAGCACATCTGAACATCTCTTGCTTTGGAAACCCTATGGGGTTGCCAAAAATCGAGTGTGACTTGATGGCAAAAAAAAAATTGAGTTAAGGCAACCTCAGACAGTCACGTGAAGCTGCCTTTTACTCAGAGGTCGATTTGGGGGGGAACGCGGGGGATCTCCGTTCCCCCGGGTGAGGTGTGTGGGGGAGGGGCACACGACGAAGCTCCGCTTCCGGCCCTCATTCAGCCAGGAGGAGGCAGGAGAAGAGGGAGGGCAAGTTGCTTCCTCCCCGCCTCTCCCCACCCCTGCCTGCCTGGGGCCAGGGAGGGCCTTGGCGGGGCTTCCTTGCATTCCTGTTGGCCTGATGGGGCTCGGCAGTGGAGCTGCAAGGCTGGCGGTGGTAGGGACTGTTGGGGGCTGGGGGGCCTTCGCGGGGCTTCCTCGCACTCCCGCCGGCTTTGCAGGTCCACCGCCGGGCCCCTCATGGGGCTCGGCAGTGGAGCCTCAAGGCCGGCGGCTGCGGCCGGGACCAGTGGGGGTGGGGGGCCGGAAGCGGGGCTTCCTCGCACTCCCGCACCTTTAAGACTAACAAATAGCACCTTTAAGACTAAGACTAACTGAGTGGTGGGTGTGGCCTTATGACACACGTCCGGTGATGTCATGGGGTGTGGCATATGCTAATGAGTTATGCTAATGAGTTCCCCTAGCTCTTTTTCTACGAAACGACCCCTGCTTTTACTGAATTAAACCATTTGTCCATCTGTTGCAATGTTGTCTCCCCCAACTGGCTGTGGCAGTCCAAAGTGTCAATTATAGGTCTTTCCCAATACTGCTACCTGAGACATACTTCGAACAGAAGGTGCTGAGAATGAAACCTGCTACCTTCTAAATGCAATTTATGCTTTCTACTGTGACTACAGTAGGTAGTAGGAGCCTGCTTGGTGTAGTGGTTAAGAGCGGTGGACTGTAATCTGGAGATTCAGGTTTGATTCCCCACTTCTCCACATGAAGCTGGATGACCTTGGGTCAGTCACAGTTCTCTCAGAGCTCTCTCAGCCCCATCTACCTCATAGGCTGTTTATTGTGGGGAGAGGAAGGGAAGGCGATTGTAAGCCGCGACTCCTTCAGGTAGTGAAGAACAGGGTATAAAGCCAACCATTCTTCTTCTTCCTCTCCTCCCCCCCTCCAATGGGAGGCTACCAAGGAAGTCAAAGGCTGCCACGCAGAAGCAGGTAGTGGTGAACCACCTCTGCTCGTCTCTTGCCTTGCAAACCCTGTGGGGTTGCCATAAGCCAGCTGTAACATGCCAGCACTTTCCACCATCACCAGTGCATTGGAATCTCTGTCCTGCTTAACTCTGGTCACTAGAAGCCAGCCCAAGCAAAGATGATCAGAGGCAAGGGGAGCAAACATCAGGTGCCCCAGGTGATCTTTTAAGAACATAAACGGGAGATAAGGGAGCTGTCGGTACTTCCTCCAGCCTTTATGCTGATGTGTGTAAAGTGCCATCAAATTGCAGCCACCTTACAGTGACCCTGTAGGGTTTTCAACCCAAGAAAGTAACAGAGGTGGTTTTGCTATTGCTTGCCTTTGCTTAGTGACCCTGGCATTCCATGGTGATCTCCCTTTCCAAATGCTGACCAGAGCTGACCCTGCTTAGCTTCCGAGATCTGATGAGATCAGGCTAGCCTGGGCCAGATAGGTCAGGGTACCAAGCTTTGTAGGTAAGAGAAAAAAAAAAGGGTTGTCCTCTCCCTGATAGGAAAATTGTGCCACAGCTACATCCCCATATTAAGGGAAGCCATTGCTGCCTGTCTGCTTAAAAGCCTAGGGAGTTTGTAGCAGGACCCTTCTTTTTAGCCTAGTCAAAGAGGTGCTGGAAGTCCTGGGTGGTTTGAATGGGGTCACTCAGAAGCTCTGCCTGTTTCTCAGTTGTACTTTGTAGAGTTGCCGCCTGAAAGGTAAGCCTTGCAATTTTCATTCTATCAAGATTAATGCAGAAGAGGACATGAAGACGGGCCAGCCGGAACCCTCCAACAACAACGTATTAGGTGGAAGTAAATGAGAAAGACGGGCCAGCCGGAACCCTCCAACAACCTGAACGTTTTAGGTGGAAGTAAATGAGGTTAATTCAAAATGAGGCATTTCCCAGTGACGTTAAGTCGAGATCAGGGTGTACAGTAAAACTGATGGAGAAAGCCAGGCTACCCACTTTAGTAAAGCGTTCCCCGTTCTGCTTTCCTTTCTTTTCTTTCTCTTCTGTCCGAGGTCACTCTTGGGAGCGACGCTGGGCTGTTCCAAGTTGGAGCCGCTTTGCAGGAGGGAGCAATTGAAAAAAAAATCCTCCCATCTTAAATTCTTGTCCTCTGAATGGGGCCTCTCCTAGTAAGTCGCAATAAATTCTTTAGTATTTAACAGTGTCACAAGATGCTTTGTTATTGTGGCCACCAACTGGCTTTATTCAAATGCGAAAGCATGTTTTGTTAATGGAATGGGGGGGGGGGAGTTGTGTCAACCTTGAAGCTGATTATTTCCTAGCAGAGTTAGAAACTGGCAGGCAGCTCAGCAAGTCCCGGCGGTGTGCAGTTATCCTCGAGAAACTGGAGCAGCCAAAGCCTTCCCCGCGGAAGGAGGGGGAAAGGGCTGAGCTTTGGGCCAATGGGTGGAATAATGGTGTTGGGTTTGGGAGGGGAGGGGAGGCGGGCTCAGAGGTGGGAGCAGGTGGCAAGTTGTTTATCTGCTCAGCTGCTGTGCCCGGCCAGAGAAAGAGACAGACAAAAGCAGCTGAGAGGAGGGAAGGAAGCAGGAGTCTCTTTCTCAGTCAGACTCTCTACCTTAACAGGTTCGTAACCATGGCAAAAGCAGCAACCGGAGAGCAATTGGCTTGGGGCGCAGACCTCAGGCGGCAGCAGTGCCTTCTGGGCCCTGTTCTAAACGTGGCCTCTGGAAGGATCTGGGTAGTGCCTTCTGGGACTGCAGGAGAGTCATCTGCTACCCTGCAGGGCAGCTGATGTGTCTTAATGGAGCCACAAGGCGCTTCGCCCGATCCCCACTCATACAAGCATGCTGCTGTCTGCCAGCAGGAGCTCTGGCAGTGCACTGCAGGAGGCGCATTAGTTGCTGCGCATGCAAATACGCAGGCCGCATCCCCTAGGGTGGGACAGCTGTGCCCCCAGCCAGGGCTCGTAGTAGGAAAGCTTTGTGATCTGTCAGTCTAAGTGCCTGGGTGATGCCCTTGGGGGATTGCCAGCAGGCAGGGACTCCAATTCAGGTCAGTGGGGCCCTTCTGAGCCGCCAAAGCCGGTGCCAACTGCAGTTTATCTTTCCAAGACGAAAGCTTTCTGGTCCCCAGCCAGGAGCTGCTTTCGATGTTATGACTATCATTATTGATCCTCCGTTAGGCGCGTTAATGCCTCGGACACGGAAGGGAAAATACCAAAAGGAAGCCTAATGTGCTCAAATGGTTTTAGACAAGGTTAATAGAATTTGTCAATAATCATCCGTTTTTATTCCGTTTGCAATTTGGTGTTGTTTTAGAGGAAGAGATTTCTACCTGGCTGCTTAGGGCACGCACTTTTTTTTGCCCTTAATTCTAGTAGCATCAGGGGGATTCGGACAACCACTAGCCACCTGATCACGGCTTGAAGGCTTCTCCCGTGGTACGTCTAGCTGCATGGAGGGTGATCACATGTTGCACACCCAAACGTCTACAATTGCACTGAACTCTGGGTGGGATCATGGAAACAGGGAGCTTACCACAGGGTGAGAAAGGATAAGTGATTGCCGTGTAGCATGATTGGAGCTACTGGATGGTTAACTTTAGGCAAAGTTGTCATGGGTTATGGATAGTGAGGTTCCACACCACTCCAAATTGCCCTTTCAGTGCTCCTCTACAGTACAATCCTGGGCAGAGTGACTCAGGTTTAAGCTTTCAGTAGGCTTAGATGGGTGACTCTGCAAAGGATCACACTGGTCGTCTTTCGCAGTGGTATCTAATTGGTTACCCACGGAATAGGATGGTGGAACAGGGGGAGTAGCTTGTTCCTCTTAGAGTTGCCAACCTCAAGCTGGTGCCTGGAGATCTCCTGGAATTACAGTTCATCTCCACAGTGCAGAAATCAGTTCCCCTGGGGAAAATGGCCACTCTGGAGGCTGGACTCTATGGCGTTACACCTTGCTGAGGTTCTTCGCCTCCCCAGGTTTCATCCCCAAATCCCCAGGATTTGGCCAACCCAGAGTTGGCGACCCTAATTTGTAAAAGTGTTTAACTGGCAAGGCTTCTTTTGTATCCATATTCATGCTAAAATTTAGAGGAGGGGGTGAAATAAGCCATCTTCACGAAAATGAATTCGAACGAAAACAGAAAGAAAGGGAAAATCCACGGAAGGACAGGAAGAGGATTCTTTGCCATTTTCCTTTACCTGCTCAGCTTGTGACCAGCCTTTACCACTTTAGCTTTTAGTGTGTAGAGTTCACATAGCAGCCCCAGGCTTGACTGACGCACTGCAGGGGAGTCTCTGGTTCTAAACCCAGCTCCTAAATATTTAAAGTAAGAATAATAAAAGTTACCAAAATGGTGTGTGGCATGAGATATGAGGGAAGGTGTTCTCGCTGGCACAACACAGTCTGCACAATCGATGCTGCCTGGACAGAGGCAAGTGAAGCGCAAGCAAAGGAAGGGAAGGATTGTATTTTACTCAGCAATAAAATATTGCAGGATATGCAATTTATCTGCAGCCAAAGTTCTACCTTTGGGAATTACCTCTAGCTCCTGGGCAGCAATTGAGTGACAGCTGACTTTTTTTCTGTGTCTGCAAACAGCCCCTCCTCTCCAGTCCTGGCAAAAGTGAAGCTGCCTCATTTGAAGCAAACTGCGGGGCTGCCCTTGTGAAATTTCCAGCCAGCATCTTTAAACGTTTTTCAGCCAGGCCTGGCTGATGACCATGTTTGTCATAAAAGCCTGTTCCTCGGCACCACTCGTTTCCAGCTGTCGCCCATGCCCAAGCCTTCCAGACATTTACATTTTCTGCTGTGATCAAGACAAACACAGAGCAGGATTTGGGAGCCTTTAAAATACTGCAAGATTTGGCCTATGCATTGGGCTGCCACAGGGGTCATTTCGTAGAAAAAGAAGCGCAGGAGCTCATTAGCATAACTCATTTGCATATGCCACACCCCCTGACCTCACCGGAAGTGTGTCAGAAGGCAACACCCACTGCTCAGGCTCCACTGGACTGTTTTGGATTGCTAGCTATTCAGGGGTGGGGGGGAACGTGCAGATCTGTCCTCGCAGAGGAGGGAGAGCTTGTACCTGAATAAAACTTGGTCTTAAAGGTGCCACTGGACTGTTTTGGACCGGGGGGGCCAGGGGGGCCCTCTACAGCTTACCTGGCTGCTTCTTGCTCTGACTGAGGGCTGCTGGGAGCAGGGGGCAGGGCTTGTTGCATGTGCCCGCTCCCTGGGCTCTTTACTGCCGGAGCTCCCCTCCTGTGCGCTCCTGCAGGAAATGACCCCTGGGTTGCCAACTCTGGGTTGGGGAATTCTTGGAGATTTGGGGGGTGGGGGCAGGATTTGGGAAGGGGAGGGACTTCCCTGGAATGTAAGGCCCTAGGGCAGAGGTGTCGAACTCATTTGTTATGAGGGCCAGACCTGACATAAATGTCAAGCTGGGCCATGTGGTGCCATGAAATGTAATGCCAGGTACCAGAGATATAAACCATGGGTAGGATTTCCAACCTCCAAGCAGGACCTAGAGATCTCCCAGAATTACAACAAATTTCCAGACTACAGAGCTTAGTTCCCCTGGATAAAATGGCTGCTTTGAAGGCTGACTTATAGTTCCCCTGTAGGGTTTTCAAGGCAAGAGGCGTTCAGAGGTGACTTGCCACTGCCTGTCTCTGCATGGAGGCCCTGGAATTTCCTTGGTGGTCTCCCATCCAAGTATTAACCAGGTCCAACTATACTTAGCTTCCGAGATCTGAAAGGGAGCCTTGGGGCCAGGCCTCACAAGAGTTGCCAGTGCCAGGCTGGGGGATTTCTAGATATTTTATGGTGGACTCTAAGGAGGGCTGGGTTTGGGAAGGCTCTGTCAGTAAAAGGGTGGGGGAAGGGCCCTTTCCAGGCCTATTTCGGCCTTTCAGTTAGAAGGCCCCCCTGCCCCCCCCCACATTCTAATCTCTCACCTTTGATACCTGAAGCAGATCCCTTCAGAGGTCGTTTCAAAAGGTTTTGGGGGGAATTCAGCCATCCCTGAAGGGATTTTTTTAGTTTTTGGATTTTTCTAGAAACCCAGGAAGTCTACTGACTATGTAGGAAAAGCTCTTGGGGAGAGTGAGCCCCCTGTTGGTGGAAATAAGTATCCACACAGAAAAAAAACTCTAGCTAATAGAATAAGGACAACAAAGGGGACCCGTGATACTCATGGGGGGGGGAAGAGCTCCACGCAGAGCAGGTGGAGGAGGCAGCAGCAGCAGGTTAGCCCTCTTCCCCCCCCGCAGGGCGTGAGCGGCTTCCAGCCATTGGGCCCTGCCAATTTCCCCCCCCCTCCTTCCCCCTCTGCTGATCTCCTTCCCTCCCCCTCCAGCTGCCGATCTCCTCCTCTTCTCCCCCCCGTCTCGGCCCACGGCCTCCTTGATCTCCTCCACCCCCCGACCTCCGGTGGCAAGGACTGATTGGCCTCGCCAATCTCCTCTCCCCCCCCCCCCCCCGCCCCCACACACACACACACACACACTCGCGTGTCAGGGGATTTCCCCCGCTGTGTCTCCGATGCCCTGGGAAGGGGAGTCTTGCCCAGGCGGTCTCGCCACCAACGGTGTCTGAGGGAGGAGGGGTTCTCGACGGGGGGGGAGGGGGAGCAGACAGGTTCCTCAGGGCCCAGCTCAGCCCGAGGGGCCATGGCGCTGAAGCCCTGCTGGTGGCGATTCAGCCGCACCGTCCCCGGCAGACGTCTCCTGTTATGGATCGAGCCTAAGCCTTTCCTCTAGCTGAACCTAGAACAGGCTGAGCTTGCTTCTCCAGGACAATAGCTCGCCTGGATCCAGGAACCAACCTACAGATAAGCAGTGTGATGTCAATAGCCTATCAGGGGGGAGTGTGTTGGGTGTGGTGTTTTGCATGCCTTATAAGCAGGGCTCCAGCCCTGCTAGAGTCCTCTTGTAGTTTTGCTGAAATCACTGAATAAACCAGAGCCCATCACTGCCGTGCATCCAGAACCCAGGATTTAATATCTCCCATCCCAGGGAGACGGAAACCTTTGCCCTTGAAAACCCTCTGCCCCCCCCCCCCGAGGCCGG